TTATTAGATGGCAGGAGACGAGAAGCAAAATCCTGTTTCTTTTTGATGTAGATGTTTTATATTACTTAAACCTCTACTAAGAGACTAGTTAAAATGTTCAAAAGCATTTAACGTATCTTAGGAGATAATCAGATAAAGTTTTGTTTGTTTATTTTTATTGATTAACCATGTCTGGCCCATAACAATTTGTTCTATAGGCAAAAATCATATCAGTGCCAAAACATCCTAAAAGCCAGAAAACCTATGAGGAACAGAAGGCATGATGGGAAATGATGCATCACCAAGTATTCTCGAAAGCAGAGGTTCTGAACCCCAGTGTTGCCAGGCGACAGCCTGGGCAGGACCTCCAGACCATCAACAAAGCTGAGGACCTTGAAGTGAATCAAATTAGCTTAACAATTAGCTGAACACAGCGTTTAACCACTTAGGAGGAATGAAAATGAACATCTGAACGAGCAGATTCGCACTGACCACAAGAAAACATGAGAAAAAAGTTGGAGAGTTGTGCCAAGAGGCTGCAGCTGCCTGCGGTATAACTGAACATCATAATGAACTGCTTGTCATGCAGGCAGGCAGGCAGACAGACAGACAGACAGAAAGGCAGGCAGGCAGTCAGAAAGGTAGACACAGACAGGCAGACAGACAGACAGAAAGGCAGGCAGGCAGGCAGGCAGACAGACTGACAGAAAGGCAGGCAGGCAGACCGACTGACAGAAAGGCAGGCAGGCAGAAAGGTAGACACAGACAGACAGGCAGGCAGACAGACAGACAGAAAGGCAGGCAGGCAGGCAGACAGACTGACAAAAGCAGGCAGGCAGGACGGCAGGCAGGCAGACAGACAGACAGGCAGACAGACAGACAGACAGGCAGGCAGAATGACAAAGGCAAGCAGGCAGGACGGCAGGCAGACAGACAGACTGACAAAGGCAGGCAGGCAGGCAGAAAGGTAGACAGACAGACAGGCAGGCAGACTGACAAAGGCAGGCAGGCAGAAAGGTAGACAGACAGACAGACTGACAAAGGCAGGCAGGCAGACAGACAGGCAGGCAGGACGGCAGACAGACAGACAGACAGGCAGACAGGGAGAGACTATTTTTAAACAAAACAAACTCAAATGATTAGCTACTTAAATTCAATGGAATGGGATGATTTCTATGGCAATGACTAAACATTAAAAAGATGAGCTAGTCCTTCACACTCAGCTAACAGCACCTCTCATCAAACACATAAAAAAATATTTAGGAATAATGTAGCACTTTCTACAAGAATATTTGTAGATTTGAGATTTGATTCTCTAGCTTAATCCCCTGTTCAGACTTTGCAGCTGTGAAAGTACAAATATCCAGTGACATCATAACTGTACAAAAGCAGCTGGGGTTTGGGATTCATGTAGTGGCCTAAAAAAAAATTATATATATATATATATATATAAATAAAAATCTATATAATTTTTTCAGGCCACTATATATTTGTAGGCACACACACACACACACACACACACACACCCAACGCTCAGCCACAAATATCAGAAATCATGGTGTGTGGCCACATCCTGCATGAGAGTGAAACCCTCGAATTACCCACTTACAGACCATAAATATCAATATGCTTAAAGCAGCCATCCGGTTCATATAAATGATACACAACTTTCTGGCACTCTCCAATCGATCCCCATTAAGCAACAATTTATGGATTAAAGTAAAATAATAAATAACTCTCCAATGCTACGAGATAGCTTGCATAGTAATGGCTGGTTATACATCACCAGCACAAGCCTGCAGAGCCAGCTAGTGTAACAGATGGGCATTTCCAGAGGCTTTGAGTGGCGAGTAGGGTGGTGACACCGCCAGGGTTAGGGGTTCGAATCCAGCCTCTGCAGGCTCCCTCTGTATTACATGGGTTTCCTCCAGGTTCTCCAATTTCCTCTCACAGTCCAAAAACATGCTGTTAGACTAAACTGGAATCATTAAATTGCCCATAGTGTATTACTGTGAGAGTGTGTGTGGCCTGCAGTGGACTGGCCTCCCATCCAGGGTGTATCCCTGCCATATGCCCTATGATACCTGAGATGGGCTCCAGGCCACACCCCCTCCCATGATTCTGCACTGGAGAAGTAGCCAATAGAAGGACAGTTTCTACTTCCTTATTTAGCAGCACTGTACTACCTCACTGGCTACTTGCACATCCCGCCCGGTGCCCCGCCTCCTTTTTGCACGAATTACCCATTTACCACTGCACTTAGTGCGTCTGGGGACCCTCGCTTACTTCTGTTAAAATATTGCGAATTTATTGGTTTTAATAAAATTCATCGATCCATTCATTTGTTTACAAAAAATATGTATCACATTAGAAACGAGTAGTTTAAGTAAAACATTAATTTTAAGTAGTACTAAATAGAAATTTAAATTATTCTGTCCGGAGCTTAGTTCCATGATAAGCATAATTGGGTGTGTTTTAATTAGTAACACCTTTGCAATAACATAAAACCCCAAATATTTGTGTTTAGTATCCCACTGGGAGCCAATGACTACAACTACAATTAATAGCAAAATGGTAAGAACAGAGTCACTCAAAAGAATTATGTCACTTAATAAAAAGAAAATGTCTGTGTGGAAGAAATGTTAAATATCGCTTGTCAATAGACTAAATGGAATAAATTTGCAATATATTTACAGAATTATGCATTGCAGGACTTTCTGTGAGCACTGTAAATGCTGTGCTGCACTTGTCCCTCCCCTGCATCTGCAGCACAAGAATTTCACCACGTTCCTCAGACCACACGTGACAATAAAAACTTGAAACTTGAGATTTGAATTAACTACTTAGATCAGGACTGGTTTCCAGTGACGGCCCGAGAATAACTGGCAGCTAGGAATTCAGGTCAAACCCAAGCAACGTCCTGGGGAAGAGCAGCTCCATCAGAGGAACCATGGCCACTAAGTGGATTGAACTCCACGAAGTGACAGAATGTGGTCAACGTTGGGGGGGGGGGGACGCCACACGCCGATCTGGAAGGTAACAGCTTGCATGTATGTTTAGGTGACCCCAGCAGCCATTAAGAGCTCTGGTGGGTCAAAGGTCATCAAAACAATTCTGACACCAGTCTTTGTTTTGTAGCTGGCCGGCAGGTCACCGGAGCAGCAGGGGTGCTCCATTAAAACAGAGGGGGGGCGGCATTTAGGGCAGGACTTCCTCACAATTTTTAATTTTCTTTTTTAAACTGAAAAAAGCATTAGTATGGGATTTTATGTGCTAAAATACCTCCCCCTCCCTGCACCCCAGTGTGGCCACAAGTAGCATGGGTACATGGCAGCTACACAAAGGCTACAAGGCAGCTACACAAACGGTACATGGCAGCTACACAAAGGGTACAAGGCAGCTACACAAACGGTACAAGGCAGCTACACAAACGGTACAAGGCAGCTACTCAAAGGGTACAAGGCAGCTACACAAAGGGTACAAGGCAGCTACACAAAGGGTACATGGCAGCTATCTCATCCCCCCAAAAATGCCTCCAACCGCAGCACCCAGGAACTCCGCAGTGCCTCGTCATGCAGTAAACGCTGCCCCCATATAAATTACCTATTGGCATGGATTTGTTTTGCTGAAATGGAGGAACAGCTTAAACGGAAGTGCACCCCCCGCCCCCTCCTTAAGGCACCCAGAGTAAGTAATAAGCCTCCACTCCGAAGCAGGAACATACATTTGGACAGAGAAGGCCACTGACCCTCAAAGATCACGCAGCTGTCATCAGCAAGAAGTGGGCTGATTAAAAATAATAATAATAAAGGAATAAAAAAAACTGAAATAAAACTGAATAGGACCAGGGCGCCCACTGACTGCGGGCCCTCGCCCCTCATGCACCCCACCCCCTGCGTTTAGAGTGTTTTACAGTGTTTAGAGCAGGGGTCTCCAACTCCGGTCCTGGAGAGCTACTATCCAGTAGGTTTTCTGTCCCACTTGGCTTCTGATGAGCCACACCTGCTCCTGGTATTTACCTGAGACCAGGTGTGGCTAATCAGAAGACAAGCAGGATAGAAAACCTACTGGACGGTAGCTCTCCAGGACCGGAGTTGGAGACCCCTGGTTTAGAGTGTTGTGTATCTCGCCTGCTCCATGTATTCTTCTGTATATAAATTGGGCTGCTAAATTAAGCATGTAATAAAAGGTGGGGAAATCGGTCCACACCTGGCAAGGAGGCCCCCAGTCACGGGTCACGCCCCGAGATGGTGCGAGAGGGCTTGGCCACACGCTTTGCTGGGTCACCGTGCTCGAACCCGGCCATACACTCTGAGGCCACGGCTAGTACAACGGCCGCGGGCTATGCTGGATGATGCGGGGGGGGGGGGGGGGGTAATTAACTATTAATGGGCTTGTGTGTCACCCCCATGCATCATCCCTTCTGTGTTTACTTCGAAGAGAGGATGTGGAGCAGGAAAATCACCGTTATGTGAAGATGTCGGTGGAGGGAAACACAAGTAGCGCCCCCCTGAGGATGAGAGGAGAAGGTCACATCTGTCGTTCTGAGACGGACCCCTCCCTATTGGCGTGATGACCACAGCTCTGGGGGTGAGGGGTTAGCAAACGGCTATGTTATAAATACACGCCCAGAGGCAGGTGCTTCATTAACACGTTAAACACGATGTGTGAAGCCTGCACGGGTACACGGGTGCACGGGTACACGGGTACACGGTACATTTACCCGTCACGGTAAAGTGCCTGAATAGGAGGTCCGGTGGGTTTGGTCCGAGCAGGAAGGGAATGAGCGAGATGAAAAATATAAATGGAAAGGAAAAGACATCAAAGATCAACGGCCAAAATGTCCAGCACCCCGAAGCTGTGGTAGCTTATTCCCACCGTTATTTTATGTACCCGTCTGTCGCTTTGGATAATCATTGGACCACAAACGTGGGACTGGGGCAGCAATGACACGTCTAGGCACCTCCAAGTGGGCAACATTTTACAGAGCTGCTGTGGGCCACCAGCGTGGATGAACTCACCTTCACCTTTTTGGCAGCCTGGAGACTCCTCCAGAGGGTCTGCTGGAACCTGAAGAGATCAGCCGGGCCGGGTCCTCCAAGCAAGGCCTGGGGGGCAGGAGGGGGGGGCGGGCAAAAAGGAGTTACTACTTCTGAATGACTAGAGCTTGGAGACGGTATCCATTGCCCATCAATACAAACCCCAAGTCAAGCCCTGCGGTCAAAACACACATCTGAGATTCCCAAAATTCTTTGCAACTTGACTCTCTTAGACAGGTAGCTGTACAGTTATACAAAAGGTGAGACGCATTCTTAAGAAGTCGACACTGTGACTACACCACAAAAAAAGAAAATTTAGCAAGTTATAAGCTACCTTCCGTCAAAGGCGTCCCATTCATTCAAAATCTCACTCTCTCAGCCAGCAACTGTAGAGGTTCTTCTGTAAAAACGTGCATGAAGACAAGTGGATGCAGGACACGCCCCCTAGTGGATGCTCCTGTCCAGAGCAACGGACACGGCTTTTGATTTTCAAACAGCAGGTCATTCACCCAGTGCCAACCTCAAACCGCAAACATTCGTGTTTCGCCAACCCACAAGGCTGCTGCCCCTCTGTTGGCAAACACACGTCCAAGCCGCATCTCACACAGTTCGAAACGTTTGGCTCCCATTTATAGAGGAGTTGGGTGTGCACAAGGTCACACGGCAGGACCGCCATCCAAGCCACTCAAGAGCCCGTGGCGGCCCTGACCTTAGCGTACTGAGCCCAATGAAACAGTGGGACCCATCTCTCTACCGGACCAATACCGAACCTCTGACAAATCCAAGGCCTGTTAACACCTGAATGGATTGTTGAATTCCCTTAAAACTCTAAATGAACACCGACAAGTCAGTCTGGAAGCTTAAGACGGCTGATGAATCACCATTTCTGATTGACCACCAGCATGGCGGAATGGTGGTGCAGTGGTTAGCACTGTTGCCTCACACCAGGGTTCGAGTCTCTGCCTGGGTTACATGTTCTCCCCATGTTGTCGTGGGGTTTCTTCTGGGTACTCCGGTTTCCCCCCCCCACAATCCAAAGATATGGTGAGGCTAATTGGAGTTACTAAATTGCCCATTGGTGTGGATGGTGTGAGTGTGCCCTGGGATTGGCTAGCCCCCCATCCTGGGTTGTTCCCAGCCTCATACCCATAGCTTCTGGGATAGGCTCTGGCGACCCAAAAGGATAAGCGGTTTGGAAAATGGCTGAATGACCAGCAAACGCAGCATGTGCCACGAATCCTCACGAACAGCCAGTCGTTTATGATTTACTTTGCGAGAAAACGCAAGCTTCCCTTTCCAGCATATAATTTCACGTCCTCCTACAGCCTTCAGTTGGTTCCACAGCCTATTGTAAAATATCCTTCACAGTCCACCCCATTAATTCCCATGAATATAAATACCAGGGCCGTTGCCTTTAAGAGATGGAGAAAGCGTTTTGCATCTTAAGTCTCTCTGCAGAGCCAGCCGTTAACTCAGGAAACGTATTAGGCTGCACCATAAGCCGCTTTAATTCATTTACGTCTATTTTTAACAGCCGGCTTCGCACTTAAGGTTCGACGTCCTTTACGTGAAAACAGCAGGTGCGAAATGTGTCATCGCAACCCATTAAATTCTGCATTAATGACTGCGGATAGTTCAAATCCCTCATTCAAATATTATACATTCTATTATCAGATGACCAAAAAAGCAAAATATTACCATTCCAGCTTATCAAAACATATTAAAAGGTATTATGTGCGAGTTTTCACTTTGGATTGACATTGATTAAATTACAAAAGCACAGCTTTCTTGATAATGTTAATCAAATCTTTAAACAACGATTCCTATTTTTATAAGTGTTAATTAATTCTCCTTAGCACAAGCAACGCGGTCTCTGGTAGAAACGCGGCCTCCTTATCTATCCCAGCTGATGGCATGGATGGGGGAGATTAAACATGTGATTCACTGAGGAATGCAGCCATTTGAATGGAGAAACACTGTGCATCAGGCTGCCTTTCTCTGCCATATAATTATTTGTCCTGGTAATTAATGTTTATATATAAACACATATAATTAGTTGTGGAAAAGGGTCGTCAGGAGTCGGCATAAATTGTGTGCTACAGTTCAAGTAAAACTGAAAAAGTCTGAAATGGACAAAACTCCAAAAGATTTTTAAGAACTTTATAATAAATAAATAAATAAATAAATAAATAAATAAATAAATAAATAAAACTCTTAAAACAGCTGCCTAAGCATGTCTTTCACATCACTGCGGCTCCGCTCACGGTTCGGACCCCCCTCTACATCTCGCGATCGTAATGGACCCTGCCTCCCTAAGACAAAGTGGATCAGCAACCCTACGAAAATGGCTTAAATGTCAAAAAAGCCCCTGAATGGTCAATCGGCTAGCAGTCTTTCCTCAGACATGATCGGGGGAGACTGGGGGCAGCCAGAAAAGAGTGAGGCTCCCCCAGCAAAGCCAGACAGTCCCACAGGGTAGCCAGGACCAACATCTCGATGACAACATGCTCCAATGTCTCATTTTTAGCCACAAACAATCAGGATGGTGGAAATAATAACATAAACCAGAAAGTTTTTCTTTTATGCAATATAAAATATGATGCATCCTGCTTTCAACTGACATTTTCCAGGAAATGGCTTGTCACCACTTTGAAGGTGAGTGCGATCCAATTAAACGTTAACAGGTGCGCTGTTCACAGCATCCGAGGTGATCCTCCTACTGGGATCCAGTGACACCAGCAGCCCGTCACTTCTGGTGTGCTGAAAATCCTTGTTTTTTTTTTTTCCCTCCAACACAAATGAAACAAATTCACCACGTACCCAGAAGCCACTCTGCTTCAGGGAATTTCACCGCACATAAATCCATACCACGTCCAACCACTTATTCAGAACAGTCTATCCCAGGTGGAAGAGGGGATGAAGACGAGACAGAGAAACAACCGGGACAGGGAGCCAGTCCATCACACTATGAGCAAACGGGGAGAACATGCAGACTCCTTATACACATATATACTCCTTGCTTAGAAGGATAACTTGTCAGATTTAAGGTAGTCTGGGCTGAATCTCAGTGAATGAAGACAAGATCCAGTCAAACTGGGGTACCTTAAATCCGACAAGTTATCCGGCTAAGCAAGAAATCCTATTTCGTGATACCGGCCCCAGAGGCGAAATTCGAAACCCCAAGTCCAGGAACAGCACAAGCCACTCAGCTGCCACACTGCCCAATTACAGACAAATCAATCCTAAAAGAAACGTAACCTATTTTCAAAGTATTACAACAGTGGATGCTTATAAAAGGAAGAGGGGGGAAAAAGAAACTTCTAGCACCTGTGAAAAGCCAGGCAGAGCCTGGGGGGTTAATTAGCCAGGTAGAAATTCAACAATCTATAGGGCAAAATCGAGTCTAAAGGGGTCTGGGGTACAATCAGTCCCCGACACAGACCTCTGCGATGACTAGGAGTTGCCGAAGCCCAGACGCACTCCCCATTACGCTGCACGGGACTACGGGGACACAGGCTGGCACTGTAAAAATAAGTTAAGATGACATTAACGAACACATGTGCCAGGATCGAGGCCGAGCGGCGGAGGATCTGTTCCTGCTGCGAAGGAGACGCGCCGCACGTGAGCGTCATCCTGTCAGCTTTCACCATACGCCGGCACCTTCCAGCTCGCGACGGAGCAGGATATCAGAATTCTATCACAAACCCCCTCCGTCCCCCCCAGCCCACCCCAGAACTATTTTTAAACTCACCAAATCCCCTTTGGAGAAATTTCCTCTTATCTGTCAACCTTGGTAAAGTTACAGCTGACTGAAAGGGGNGGGGAAATCCTCAGAGTATCGGTTAGAGCTGAAGGTCACGGGGACGCTGTAACAGTTTAAGTACGGGAGCCGGCCCCAATCGCGGCACCATGGAGCGCCTGAAAGCTACGTCTCTTACTGCTAGGAATCAGTGCAAATTATTTACAAAAAGACGACTACAGAATGTGCCTAATGCACAATTTGTCGTTACACAACTACTGTAAGTAGGGCGGATCGTCTGATCTGCAACTTCTGGGCTCAAGTAAAATCAAGTGGAATAAAACTTTATACCCGCAGTATAACTTTAGGCATGCATGTGCAGAAATACAGTTAACTTACAGTGCGTTACCCTGTATGATTAGAAACCAACTTGTAAAGCATATAAATAAAACAAACAAATGGCACCTTGTCACAGAGAAGGATTTACACACACCAAACTTGTTTTGGGGATACAATGCAAATCTCTATGGTTCCATCCTCCCTTTCCCCCAGAGCTGTTACTGCCTGTTGCGCTGCAGAATTTAACCCCAGGACATAAAAATCGCTCATCCACATGGGGGTGGGGGGGACAGGGCGAGGTGGAGGACGGGCTTTTAAATGCATCTCTGCTGCACTCTGCCATTACGACTGGCAATGGCCCAGGGACCAACGAGGCGTTCTGCATCAGGAAAAGGAGGGGGGGAAAAAATTAATTCACCGTGAAGAACAGAAGTGTTGTCATTAAAACAGCAAGGAGCATAATTACTCCTGCTGGTGGTCTGGCGTGCGGGGGAAAAATACGGAGCGCCCTCTGGTGGGGGGGCTGTGGGGGAAATAAACTTTTACATTTACATGGGATAGGAGAGCAGGAATTCGAAGAGGACGTGGTATTGGGAATTGGGAAACCTGTCAAATTTCTGCATTGCACTACTTAAATTTGCTCAAACTGCTGCATTTCTCGCATACGTTGCATATGCTTCTTTATGCTCCGTATCTTACATTTCGCATTTATTCTCTTCTTGCTTTTTGCCCTAAGTTTTAGTCGTCTGTTGTCATGGTGTCTCCAATAGCAGCAAACCAAGCCAAAAAACATTTCCACCAGCGTTGGTCACGTGGTAACAAAGAGTTTGATTTTATAAACCTGGGGAAACAGGTGGTGTGACTGTCTGAAAGTCCGTGCCGTCGGTTCAGGACAGTCAATACGATAAGCTCATTACGACTACCCACCTCCGGAAATCCCAAATGATTTCATTAAACCATCAACAACGTCACCCTGAGCTACCGACTAGGC